AAAAAAAAAAAAAAAACTGGAATTCCATTTTCCCACCAAAATGGTGGGAAAACCAATTCCACAATTTCCATGAAAATGTGCACGTATGGAGTAAAGTAAGAAAAAAATTTTCATGGCAAAAAATGACTATCAAACAAGCCAAAACATTGTTTTCCATTTTCCATGGAAAACCATGGCTATCAAACATAGCCTTATTATACGAAAATAAAAATATTTGAATTCATAATTTGAAGGTTCCGCCGCTAGGCCAATGGTGTATATTGCCGTTAAACTTAATGTCATGTTTTGTAAGGTAAATAGGAGCTGCAAAAAACAATATTAACAAAAAAAGAAACTAAAATCATTTGTTATATTGTGTAATCCTATCTAATACTACGCAGTAAGAATGCTCTAAGAGGGAAAGAGAAGGGACCTGTGAAATCCAGGATAGCCAATATGAGAAGCCCAACTAGAGCCATTTCAATAGTGAAAGGACTTCTGATACAGGCCATGAATTGGGAAAATAAGAATAACTATAAAAGTATATATGTGTTTTAGAAGCAGCTATAAAATATGTTGTACATGGAAGTTGGCACTCCGGAGTCCATCTTTTATAGGGGGTTTGAAGTGTATAAAATATTTTAAATTTTAATTTATTAATGGCTGCTTAATTTTCTTGACAGATAACGACTCCGTGGAAAGAGGCTATACAAAAAAGAAATATGCTATAATATCAGAATAATTGACATAATGTCACATAGTACCTTTCATTGGACTGTTTAAAATATAGTCACCTCCCACCACCTAAGATTCTGGTACTACTTCTGGCGTTTGTTCTTCCGGCAAAGTGGTTTAACCCTACAAACAAAGTACAAGTGCTTAGAGAAATGTGCATGCGTAAGGTGTATTTTTGGATTGTTCAAGTATACTTGAAAAGACATAAATTTTCATTCTATTTTGAGAATGACTTCTTGAATGAATACCTAACTTCACTAGCCGCCCTAGTGAAACGCCACCATATGAGCTATTATATATATTGATGCACTGTTCATAGTCTTCAGGAAAATCAAAGTAAACGCTGAAGGATTATTAATTGTCCATAACGATAAATACTGAAGACTTAGGCACAAGCGCAATTAAGACTAAAGAGAGACATTTATTTGTGTTTACTGAAGAGTTAGGCACAAGCGCGATTAAGGCTAAAGAGAGACATTTATTTGTGTTCATAATCGTTAAGAATTGTTGACAGAGAATTAATATTTACTATTCGAAGGATCTCTTTCAGTATAAACCGAATTCATCTTTTAATTAAATACTTTATGAGTAATGATATTCATTCCTATTAAAATTAAGTACTAATCAAGTGGCAACACTTTATAAATTTAATTAAATAAGTATGTGACTTTACATTTAATTGAATCGATCATTTTATACCATTTAATTGTCAATTAGACTGGTGCTCCATACCAATAGAGATGAATACCATTACTCAATACGTAATGTATATTGGGTTGTTTTCTCAAAAAGTACAAGTATTGTTGTAATATTTGAAATTTTTATTGTAAGTTAGTAAATAATATTTAGTTGTTTATTTATATGTGATTGTTGCACTATCTACAATAATTAAAAATGAAGGAATGAGGAGAAACTTTTGATTATTAATTGAAGCTCGTTCCTGCATCGTGCCATCTCTGTATAAAATTATGTTTTGGAAAACTTTCCTCTAAAATTAACGTGGAAGGAAAAGCAAAGATTTTACTTGGCTCAAGTACGGTTCAAATTCACATTATCAAACGTCAAAGTACACAGTTCTATTGACCAGACTGAACTTTTTCTTCTACCTAGTACGTATCTAGCAGGAAAATGATATATGTACCCGGACACCCCGGGTTACCCGACCCCACCGCCCCCCTCACAATGAGGTGGGGCCCGAGGCGAATTATATAATCGACGGGCCCCCCATTGTGGGGGAGGGGGGGGGGGGCGTTGGGTCGGGTAACCCGGGCTGTAAACCCCCGGGTACTTGTAACAAAACCCTATCTAGAACTAATAGGGTATGTGGTCTCATTTGCTGCGTATAAGCTCAATTGAGAGTTTTCGATATGTTACTATCTCGTGAAATGACCTGTAAATTGAGCCACAAAATCACCATTTAGTAAATGCAGTTTGGTAACAATCCATTATATGTGGCAGCTTGTATAAATATATTGTAAAATCAAATGTGAAAGGAAGGCCATGATTTTTATTCAGTCAAGTAAATGATCAAAGTCAAGTGGATAGCTCTATTGACTAGACTATAATTCTATCTTCTACAAGTCATTCCAAAATTAAGACTAATCACCATACTACTATGCCATATCTAATACGCAAGTTAATACGCAAGTTTGGAGACAATTCAATAAATGTGGCCCCTTGAACCACAGCCAAGAACTGGAAGAAGAATTTTTGGTCCATATATGATGCTGTATTACAAGGTTGATGTGAAAATTGGATTTGGCTACCACAAATGATTTGGCTTTTTAGATGAAGTGTAAACACTACTTTTCAAGGTTGTAGAAACTTGCTTGAAGTAAAAAAAATTTCAAGAATAAATATGTTGAATCGCTTGTTTTACTTTGCGTGATCTTGTTGGTCCAATACTCTATCAAACTGAAGGAATTCTTTAGCCACAATCCAAATGCTTTTTTTTTTTTACCTAATTGATTGAATGGCTCAAAAATGTGAATGATTGACTTTTCAATATTCCACCATTTTAGCATACGAATATCATGTGTTTTTTTTATGTTGAGAGAGAGAGAGGTTTTGTTTTGTTTTGTTTTTTTTTTTTTGTGTGTGTGTGTGAACTTCTATACTTCCACGTATTTACATTTTGGAAGTTATAATGTTGGTTATGGGTGGTGGGTAAGTTATTCACAATTTTAAAAATAACTAATCCCACAAACCCACTTTATTCTACTTTGGGTTTGGTTAACCCACGTGGACAACCCTACTATTTTTAATATCTCCCACTTGTACATAATGGGGACTTGAAACCATCAATCATCATTTAGATCTATCTGAAGATCTAACTCACATGGTTCATACTGAAAAATAGCTCATGCAATCCATGAGTAACTTAGAGTATCTAATATTATACACCTATTATGAATATATAATAGTTCTATAAGAGGAATCACATTTTCCGTCATACCGTAGACTTATTTTCTAACATCTAGTTCAATGATTTATGCTCCATCAATAATTCAAGAACATATTTGAACCGTATACCATATATTGCATTCACAATTATGTCCAAAACTTCAATAAGTTAATACAATTGTTTGGCCGGTGAATACATGTATGTTAGATAGAATAGTCTTCTTTGTTTACTTGAATCTCTAAACCTTAAAATAGCTGTTTCTCTAGACATATTCCATAATATCGAATCATTCATGATTATTGGCAATAGGTGGCACAATCAATTTTGTAACAAACCATTATCTCCCACCACATATTGTAATGTCATGTCATCCGAGTGCTTAGCATAAGCTAAATACCAGTGTTTAGAAGACCAGTCCTAATATGTATGGTATGATTCACATGCTTTAGGTCTTCTTCCTTTTTTAGGATGTATGATGTATTCTATAAATTAAATATACCTTACAAATCTTAGGTCAAGCATCTTTCGATGCTTAACTTGAGTTCTCCTTATATTTATTTCTCTAGACAATCTTAATAAGAATTCGATCACTTAGAGTAATCTCATCTTGATTAGTTATCAAGTTGGAACACATACACAATATAATTACTTTATCTCATCTCAATACATTTCAAAATGTGTGAGCTAATTGCTAGTGTGAGTGAGCCAATCCTTACTTATTTGATATACTTTCTATATATGCATACAATTTACTTATAAGTAATCACAATAAAGTTTGTACTCAAAAAGATATGTTCATTGACGGACAGTTAAAATTTTCCAAGTATATTACTAAATTCTATGCAATTATAGAGATTTAACATGTGTCACAAATACATCGCCATGTATCTATTTAGTAAAGAATTAGCTACCATAGGACGCATAGAAATGTAATGTAAACTTACTTCTTTCTTTGTTATGATGTCTATTACCAAAAATTATATTTTTTTTATTGTTTGTTTGGTTCTACTACGATACTTGGGATCCTTCGTATCTGCAGTAGTAACTTGACTTTGTGTAGGACTTACATTATTGTTAGGGACTCTTAGATGCTGAAAGAATCTTCTCAATTAAACATCTTATATTTTTTGAAGCATATGCCATAGATTATACTTCCATTGTAGATAAGGAAATACATGTCCATTTCTTACTACTCAAAGAGATGGTGCCATTATTAAGCAAAAATGCATATCTCGAAGTTGATCTGTGCTTATCTACTTCTCCATCCCAATCAGAATCTATGTATCATTTTAAGTACAAATCATTCCCTTGATTGTAGAGGGACTAACTAATAGTACCTTTTAGGTATCTCAATATCCTTTTAACAGCTTTCTAACATTCTCTTTCAGAATTAGATTGATACCTCCCAACCAAACTAATGATATAACTAACGTTAGGATGAGTACACATCATAGCGTATATCAAGCTCTGAATCTTGTTGGAGTAGGCACTCAGAACACTTCTTCTATTTCCTTAAGAGTCTTAGGACACATGTAAAGACTTAGAATTTTGCCTTTTGATACAGGAGTATCAATGGGGTTGCAATTTTCAATTTTGAAATGTTCAAGAATCTTCTTTATTTCTTGTGAAAAGCAAGAAGTTTCTTAGAGTGATCTCTATGGATTGTAAAATCTAATATATAATTTGCTTCACCTATGTCATTCCTTTAAAAAATTGAGAAAGAATATTTCTTAATGGATTTAACATACTCATTATAGTTTTCGCCCGATAAGATATCATCCACATAGAGAGATAAAATTATAAATTTCTTATTGGACTTTTTAAAATAAATACAAGGATCTTTGTCCAACATGATGAAGTTATATGAGATTACTACTTTGTCAAATCTTAAGTATTACCGACTAGAAAACTGCTTTAGGCTATAGATTGATCTTTTCAATTTTCAAACTTCATTCTTTTAGCCCGTTTCAATGAAACCCACTAATTGTTGCATGTAGATTTCTTTATCTAATTCTTAATCGAGAAAGACAGTATTTATATTCATTTGATAATTCTGAATTTAAACATACCAATATGGATAGGAATAGGCGAATTGAAGTAAATCTCATTACTAGTGAAAATGTCTTTTCTTAATCTATACCTTCCTGTTGACTATAAACATTTGTAACCAAGCGAGCCTTATACATCTCTATAGTCCCATTACTTCTTCGTTTTATCCTGAGAATCCATTCATTTCCAATAGCTTTCCCAACAGTCGAAAGATCAACTAAGTCTCATATTGGTTGGATTTCATAGACTCAATTTCTTCTTCCATTGCAATTTTCAACTTTTCCCATTTAGTCATGATAGTGCTTCGTGTGCTGATTTAATCTT